AGTGAGCCAAGATCGTGCCACTGCACTCCAGGCTGGGTGGCAGAGCAAGACTCCATTTCAAAAAACAAAAACAAAACAAAACAAAATACGGTGAGGGCCTGGTGCCCCTCTGGAATGTTTTTCATCGTCTGGGTTTGACGCTGTGCTGTGCCATCACCACGTGTGGGGCCGGGGAAAGCGCTTATTCCGGGGCACACGCCTGCCCCTGGAGCGCGGGTGGAGTCAGCTCCATCTATAGGGTCTGGCCTGGGAGCAGGGAGATGGTGCTTGCCCAGAGCAGGCTCAGACCCTGACCCTGAGCCTAGGGAAAGATGAGCCGACCCTGGGGTCAAATGGACCACAATCCCCCCTCCCCATGAACTTTCCCCTGTGATTCTGGGATAAATGACACAGACAGCACTGAGAATTCCATGGTAGTCGTTATTATTACTGTTGTTTTTACTAATAGCAGGGGCCCCATCACTCACCTGTAGGTAATCAATTTATTACCTCTCAGTTCCATTTGTCACCTGGTGCCAGGTTAGGCTTTGTCAATAGAGGGCGCTGGAGAGCCACTGAGGAACCAGGGTCCCTCTGCCTCACTCCAGGGCTTTGTGTTCGCCTTCCTACTGTCTTGTGACCAGCAGGTGGCTGCTATGCTCCACTTTACAGGGAGTGACCTCCAGGGCCGCCTTCTCCTCCTTCTCCCTCCTCCTCCTCCCTCCTCTTCCTCTCTCCTTTCTTTCATCCCTCTTCCTCTCTCCTCCTTCTTCCTTCTCCTTCCTTCTCCCTCCTCCTCTTCCCTCCTCCTTTTTTCTCCTCCTCCTCCTCCTCTTTCTTTCATCCCTCTTCCTCTCTCCTCCTTCTTCCTTCTCCTTCCTTCTCCCTCCTCCTCTTCCCTCCTCCTTTTTTCTCCTCCTCCTCCTCCTCCTCTTACCTCCTCCTCTTTCCTCCTCCTCCTTCTTCCTCCCCCTTCTCCTCCCCCTTCTCCTTTAAGAGATGGGGTGTCAGTCAGGCGCAGTGACTCACACCTGTATTCCCACCTGCAATTCCTCACTTTGGGAGACCAAGACAGGAGGATCACTTGAGTCCAGGAGTTCGACACTGCAGTGAGCTATGGTAGCACCACTGGACTCCAGCTTGGGCAACAGAGGGAGACTCTGTCTCAGAGAGAGAGAGAGAGAGAGAGAGAGAGAGACAGAGAGAGACAGAGAGAGAGAGACAGAGAGACAGAGAGAGAGAGAGACAGAGAGAGAGAGAGAGAGACAGAGAGAGAGAGACAGAGAGA